CTTGGTCTTATTTGATGGAATGGAGCTATACTATCAGAAAATAGAGGATGATTTTGAATGGTTTTAGTACTGAAAATAGCTTGAAATTGAGCTCAAATAAGTACAAATGTTCGACTTTTGCTGATCGTTCAAGAGTAAACAAATGTCACGCATCATTACTCTCTAAAAACTGGTGGGTCTATTAATATACGCTTCACAGTTGCGCTGTTATTGTTCATACAATTATTAAACTATTGCATAACAGTAAATCATCTATTTGTTTGTGTAAATGAAAATTCTATGAGTCATAAAAAAATCAAATGAAAAATTTCATTTGTAAAGCCTAGAAAACCATAACTATTAAACAGAGGAATAATGTATTTTAGTGCCAGGAATACCTGCTTGTTTTATTCGGGACCCTATTTTTGAAATTGGGAATATTTGAAACTTTGTGTGAAATTGGCCAAATTACCAATTGTCTGATCACTTTATTGGGTAGTGGAAATAGTTGATGGGCCAGGTTTTTGTGCTCAAGTCGATAAAATAGAAGTAATCTAGCAAAATTGCTAAGAATTTGGTTGATTGCAATAATGTAATTGGCCTAAAAATTAGGTGTCAAAGTGGGCAAAAGTCACCGTTGTGTAAATATTGCTGAAACAGTAAAATTCACAAGAGTGTAATTTCGTAAATTTTCCATCAAATTTCATACTTTTTGTTTTATTATCTCAGTAAAGATTCTCTGCATTTCATAAGTAAATAAATTGAAATTTCTTGTACCCAGTGGGCAGGCATTATAACTTTGGCTTGGACCCTCAAGGGCGTTTAAAATACCATGCTTCACACCATACATGGGTGTTGGTACCATATACTCTGATGGGGTTGTAAGAGAAGTAAATGCGAGGGTCTTTGCAAGAGGCGTGGAGTTAAAAGATAAAGAATCGCCATAAAGTGGGAGTTGTTCACAGGTGCTCTTGGATGTATGACACTAGTTGCCTCTTGGAGGATTCTGAAGTGAAGTTGCAGAGGGTTGGTGGAGGAATTTAGGGTAGGGATGCAAAGAAGGTAATATTAATGTGATCAGAAAGAGTAAGGTTATGTGGATAACAAAAAAGATTAGGTGATGAAAGTGGATAATCAGATTGGAGGGAGAGTGTATGGAGGAGGTGAATTGTATTCAGATATTTGGGAGTGGACGTGTCGTCAAGCGGATGGGTTATTAAGTTGAGGCGAATCATAGGATTGGATTGATGGGGAAAAGGGTGAGTGGTTTCACTTAGGAGTCTGTGGAGACAAAGAACTTTTGTCATTGGAGGCTAAGAGGGGAATGTATGAGAGTATTGTTGTACCAACGATCTTATATGGGTGTGAAGCATGGGTGATGATTGTTGCAGTGAGGAGAAGGCTGGAGGCAGTGGAGAATGTTCATGTTCTGAGGGCAATGCTGTGGTGTGGAAATTGAATGCAGAGAATTCGTAGTTTGGAAAGTTAGGTGGAGGTGGTGGGATTACCAAAACTATTGTCCAGAGGGCTGAGGAAGGGTTGTGGAGGGTGGTTCGGACTTGTAGAGAGAATGGATGCGAAAACAGAAATGACTTCAAGAGTGTCTCAGTCTGTAGTGAAGGATTGCGGTCGGTAGGGGTCCAGACCTAGGAAAGTTGGTGGGAGGGGGGTTTTTGTAAAGGAGGTTTGTGTGCGAGGGGGCGTGACTTCACAGCAGGTTGCTGTGAGCGTGCTTTGATAGTGAAATGGAGAACAAATGGTTTTTTAATACTTGCGTGCTGTTGGAGTGTGGCAAGTAACATTTATGAAGGGATTCAGGGAAAACGGCATGCCGGACTTGAGTCATGGAGATGGGAAGTACCAAGTGCTGACACTCTGAAGGGAGGGGTGTTAATGTTGCAGTTTAATAAACTGTGTTGTAATGCACTACGGTTTTTAAACTGCAAGACAGTGATGGAGTGAATGATGATGAAAGTTTTTCTTTTTCGGGCCACCCTGCCTTGGTGGGAGTCGGCCAGTGTGTTAATAGAAAAATAAAAAAAAAAACCTTTTTGACTTCACAGAAGCGTCATTGCAAACTCTATGGTTGGTCCGACTCTGTGTATAACATATTGTCAATTCATAGACTCTTTTGCAGACAAGTCCACTCCTTTCAACCTGATATCTATTCTTTCATTATCTAAATTTTTTATTACTCTCATCACCTTTCTCTTTCCTATGTTCAATTTCGATTTCCTTCTTTTACGTACCCTCCCCAATTTGTCTACCAACCTTTGCAGTTTTTAGAACTCCCACTTTGCATTAAATTCTTTGTCTTTTAATCCCACACCTCTTCCCAACATCCTACCATTCATTCCTATTACAACACCTTCTATGAATATTAAACACAATGGTGATTTCACATTAATCCCTGTCTTAAGGGCCTCCTTTACCACAAATTAATCTCCCTCTCTTTACTACATACCCTAAATGAGTCTCAGTACCTCACCATAAAAAAAACTCCCTTTCAATTGCTTCTAAGCAACCTACCACTTATTCCTTCGCACTTAGCAATCATCCCTACAACATTGCTCTTCTATCCACCCTGTCATATGCCTTTTCTAAATCCATAAATGCAATGAAGGCTTCTTTATCTTTTCATTTTATACTGTTGTGATTGTGAAAATAAAAAAAAACACCTTTTTTTTATGCTGATGGATACTATCAGTGGGCCCTTCATAAATATGTACTAGACTTTGTTTACTTTCTCCATGGGAAAGTGGAAAAAGAATTATTTCCTCCAATAACCATGCATGTCATCAGTAGGTGACTAAAATTGTGGGAGCCAAAGGGCTAGTAACCCCTTCTCCTGTATAACATTACTAATTTTAAAAAGAAAAATTTTGTTTTTCCTTTTTTAACCGGAAATGGTCCAAGGCAGTATCTACCGTTCGCAGTGTAGTGCTTCGAATGTAGATCTAAGTTTTTTTTACATATTTTCAAATATAACAATATGGGTAAAGGTGTCTGTTGGTTAGAGTTATAATTGAAAGAATTAAAGAGTACGACGGAGGAATAGGTTAGCAGATGAAACAAGGAGGCTTTAGGAAAGGGTAGGGCGGTTGTGTGGACAGGTGTTTACAGTGTGAAACAATATAACCGTGAACAGTATTTAGATAAGGCTAAAGAGGTCTTTGTGGCATTATGGATTTGGAAAAGGCGTATGGGAAAGGGTGGATAGGGGGGGCAAGGGCAGATGTTGCAAGTGTATGGTGTAGGAGGCTAGGTTACTGAAAGCAGTTGAAGAGTTTTTAACGAGGATAGTGAGGCTATAGTTAGCAGTTGTAGGAAAGTGGGTAATTTTTTCCCAGTTAAAAGTAGGCCTTACGACAGGATGTGTGATGGTCACCGTGGCTTGTTTAATATATTTATAGTTGGGGTTGTAAGAGAATAAATGCAGAGGGTCTATGGCAAGGAGGCGTGGAGTTATAAAGAATAAAGAATCACACACAAAGTGGGAGTTGTCACAGCGCTCTCTTTGCTGATGACACTGTGCTTTTTGGGAAGATTATGAAGAGAAGCTGCAGAGATTGTGGATGAATTTGGTAGGGTGTGCACAAAGAAAGAAAATTAAAGGTGGAATACAGGAAAGAGTAAGGATTATGAGGATAACAAAAAGATTTGGTGATGAAAGATTGAATATCAGATTGGGAGGGAGAGAGTATGGAGAGGTGAACGTATTCAGATAATTGGGAGTGGACGTGTCAGCGGATGGGTCTATGAAAGTTGAGTGGAATCATGAATCTGATGAGGTAAGAAAAAGAGTGACGTGGTGCCACTTAGGAGTCTGTGGAGACAAAGAACTTGGTCCTTAGAGGCAAAGAGGGGGTATGTATGAGAGTATAGTTTTACCACGCTCTTATATGGGTGTGTAGCCGTGGGTGTGATGAATTGTTGCAGCGAGGAGAAGGCTGGAGGAAGTGGAGATGTCTTGTCTGAGGGCAAAAAAATTTTTGGTGTGGTGTGAATATAATGCAGAGAATTCGTAGTTTGGAAGTTAGGAAGAGGTGCGGGATTACCAAACACTGTGTCCAGAGGGCTGAGGAGGGACTTGTTGAGGTGGTGCGGACATGTAGAGAGAATGGAGCGAAACAGAATGGAATTCAAGAGGTGTATCGTCTGTAGTTGGAAGGAAGGCGGGGTAGGGTCGGCATAGGAAGCGGTTGGAGGGAGGGGGTAAAGGAGGTTTTGTAGTGCGAGGGGCCTTGGACTTCAAGCAGAGCATGCCGTGACGCGTGTTGATTGGAGTGAATAGAGACATATGGTTTTTTAATACTTGACGTGTGTTGGGGTGTGAGCGAAGTAAACATTTTCTGAAGGGATTCAGGATAACCGGCAGGCGGACTTGAGTCTGGAGATGGAGTAAGACAGTGCCTGCACTCTGATGGAGGGGTGTTAATGTTGCAGTTAAAACTGTAGTGTAAAGCACCCTTCTGGCAAGACTGTGATGGATAGTTGAATGCATGGTGAAAGTTTTTTCTTTTTTGCGGCCACCCTTGCCTTGTGGGAATCGGCAGTGTGATAATAAAAAAATAAAATACAAAAAAAAAAGTAGATCAAAGTTTTTTTTACAATATTTTCTAATATAACAAAAAAAAAAAAGTAGATCAAAGTTTTTTACACATTTTCAAATGTAGAAAAACAAAAAGAAGATCTACTTTTTTACATACTTTCAAATGTTGAACTAACGTATATATACGTTATTGGACCGTTTACGGGTTTAATAAAAAAAACTTCATTTTTTCTTTTAGGTCACCCTTGCCTTGGTAGGATACTGCCAGTTTATTGAAAAAAAAACTTTGTTTACTTATGTTTCCATTGATAGTCAAAATATAAATAGTTTACTATCTACATTTTCCCTACTCTGTGTACTGTATATACTGTATCACTATTCAATAATGTAATGTTTTTTCACTGTTAATGCAGATGTACAGACTTAACTGTGAACATTTTCTGTGGCCAATTTATGAACTTTTTTTCAGGTATACAATGTCCAAATCTACAGCTCTACTGTTTATTTTGATATTTGCAATTGTCCTCAAATTGGAAGAAATGGTGAGTAATTTGATCACTTGTTTATTTCAGCTTGAGTATGTATTTATTGCAACATTATTGTGTTGTCATGTGTAGGTTTCATAAGTTAAGAGTAGAGCCTGTTTTGTTATGTAATTTGAGGCTTAGATTTTGTATAGCATTTAGTTTTTGTGAATGCAATAAGGTGCTACCAAAAACAGTGAACAAAAGATGAGTAAGACAGATTGGCAACAGTTGAGTATCTTTATTGTTGAAGTGTTTCCCTTGCTCTGTAGGCTTCTTCAGTCAAATATGGAGGTGCCATATATACCAGAGATAGTAGAAGTAGCAGAGAGGTGGATATGAGATGATCATCCATTCATAGCTTCTTCAGTTGTATACAACTTAACTTTGATTGAGACTATTGAGCACTTCTCAGAACTGAGGGACTTAATACCTTGAAACTATAAGGATAAGGTACTGATCACCTCATCTTTACTCCTGCTTCTGCTGTCTCCAGTTTTTGTCATCTGTGTGTTTGAGTGAAGAAACCTGCAGAGCAGGTGAAATGTTTTAACAGTGAGGATACCCAACAGTTTCACATGTGTCTTACTCATCTACTTGTCAGTATTGTATACCATTAACATAATGAAAGAAAGACATGTTGTAAAACAAACTTTAACTGGGACAACATATTGCTCTGTAGAGCTTCATAAGAGTCATTATTCAACAAAGTAAAACAGTTCCAATAAAATCTTGCTCTGCAGTATGTTATTTTTCCCCATGTAGTCATCATTACATAGTCATCATATTGCTGTGTGTATAAGGGGCCAGACTGTCAATCTGTCAGAGTGCCAGACTGTCAATCTACAGACCTCGGTTCGCCTTCCCATCCACCATTCTGTTTATAATAGGTAGTAGGTTGGTAGACAGCAACCACCCAGGGAGGTACCACCATCCTGCCAAGTGAGTGTAAAACGAGAGCCTATAATTGTATTACGTGATGTTACGATTGCTGGAGTCTTTTGTCTGTCTCATAAATGTGCAAGATTACAGGTACGTCTTGCTACTTCTACTTACACTTAGGTCACACTACACATACATGTACATGTTCATTTATACACACTCTTCTGAGTTTTCTTTGATGTTATCTTAGTAGTTCTTGTTCTTATTAATTTTCCTTTTTATATCCATGGGAAAATGTGAAGAATGTGAATCTTTCATCCTTGTTTTAATAAGTCACTAAAATGCCCTGGGAACACGTAATAGTATAATAGTTTTCTGTAAAGATTACTAAAAAGAAGAAGAAAAATGTCAAAGTGGGATGTCTGAATGTGCATGGATGTTGTGAGAATGATAAGAAAAGAGTTGTTTGTGGATGCTATATGAATGAAAAGATGCTGGATGTCCTTTTTTTTTTGCTTTAGTGAAAAAAGCTGAAGGGGGTGGCGGCTGAGTGTTTCGTGGATCATTGAGAAGTAAAGGGATTAGGTTCTGAGGTTTCAGATAGAGTTAGGCTAAAAGAAGGAGTAGCAATAATTGATGAAGGGATAAGTTTTGGCAGGAAAAGAGGGAGTATAAATGTATTAACTCAAGGTAGTGTGAAAGTAAAGTTAAAGCGTTGGATGTGAAAAGTGGGTTATAGAAGCGTATATTGACCTGGAGAAGAGAGAGAAGAGAGAAGGTGTTGAGGAGAGGAGAGAAGAGGGGTTTGGAAATTGATGAGTGTGTGGGGAGTTTTGAACCCAAGTGTGAGAGTTACTTGTGGTTGGGGATTTCAATGCTAAGTGGGGTGTTAAATGTGTTGGTGGAGGGAGTAGTGGGTAAATTTTGGGGCGTGCCATGGGTAATGAAAATGGGGGCTTTATCAAGCTTGTGTGGATCAGAGGTTTGGTATTAAGTAATACATATTTATGAAAAAGATGTTAAATAAACATACATGGTATGATATAGCAATAATGAAAGTAGTTTGTTTGATATATATATTGGTGGATAAACATCCATCTTCTCCTACCTAGACTCTCCCATATAATAACCTCCCTCTCTATTTTTAAACTGACATATCCATTTGTTCTTAGGCCTTCCTCCAACTTTTTGATTTCAGCTCCAAAACGTTTTCTTATTTTCAACTAAATTTGTTGATATCATCTCACCCAACTCTATATAACTTAATTTTTATTTTATTGTTTACTTTCTGTAAAAAAACTTTATAGTTATTCTCTATAAATTTTTTTTTTTTTTTTTTTTTAATATTATTTGGGGTTCTTCTGCGCGGAATTACAGTACGTATAGATTTACATTATTCTCATGTAACTATCTGCTTTAGTTTTTGTACTTTTCGGTTTGTCATCAGACTTTCTGGAATGAATTAATGACAAAAAAACGAGGTTCAACTTTCGTATTCTGTTTGGGATTAAATTTTATTGATTCTTGTTTTGGAAGTTTGGGCAACATCAATATGTATATTATATTTTTTATTCTAATTTTAACAGAATTAAAGGATATTGATGTGCTCAGTCAACTTTGTATAATTCATGGTTTCTACCGAGTCATTTACTCTAAATGTTCTTCTTGGGCACACACTACCTTTTCAAAGGATGGGTTAAATGATATCTAAACAAAATCTTTCAATGGAAACGTTAAAGAACAGCAAAGGCACAATACCGTGACTGGAAACAATGCACAAATAACCCAATACATAGGAAAGTGGAGCTTTATGCAATTTACGAAGTCACACTGACAGAAAAGAATGAGTTAACCATATATGTCCTGGTTTCCTCACTCTTTTTTTTTGTCAGTGTGACTTTGTAGATGGTTCAAGTCAGATTGAAACATTGTTGTAAGCTCCTCTCTCCTATGTCGGGTTATTGAGCCATGGAAATGTTGGTGGTAATGGCTTTTACAACTGAAGGAGGGAAAAATGGTGCGAAGCAGTTGCATTACTGTCTCCAGCCTGTTGTTGTGATGACTTAATTCTGACATATTGCATCAGCTGTAGTGATTTTTATCACTGTCATTAAATTCTTATTAACTTTGCCCATAGCACAACAATTAAACAGAAAGAAGCGTTGAGTCTTGAACCTACAGCAAGTGAGAGTGCTAAAACTCAGTGTTCAAGCCACGCATGTTCCATGATTTGTTTGCAATTATGTTATGATTTCATGAACCATAGCACACATTTCTTAGAGTAAAGCCTTTTTATTCACCCTAGGTTAGCTTTATTTACCATTACATTCTTTTGGGACTTCATTTCATTTATATATTTCTTGAATATATGCTTTGGGCACTAGAATTAGAGTGGCTTATCAGCTCTTTATAAAATCGACTATATTTCCAATTTTGACAATTTAATCTCCACTCTGTCACTTTTTAATGTTTCTTAGTTATGTACCGTTAATTGATGACTTCTCCTCATTATAGTAAATAATAAGTATGGATGTGCATTATTATTAAATATTTTATTTTCAAATTAAATAGGATTTTCACTCATACAGCCTAGTTCAGCACACATTCTGAATCCATCGTTTATTATCTATTATTTTTCTCAGTCCAATCAGGGTCTTTGAACATGACGGGACTGCGAGGTGACAGAAGGGCCCGAATAACAACGGCGTCGTGGTGGACGAAAGGGACTTGGACAAGTATCGTTTCTACTTGCATACGAAAACTTTAATTCTCATTTTTAATGTATTATACTTGCTCCATCGGCCTTACGTTTTATTCAGAAAATGTATTTTGGTAAGTAGTAAATAAAGATTGTTTATTTATCCTTGCAATTGAATTCAAAGTCAAGATTCTAAATTATATGTTGAATGTGATGATAAATAGTATTTTCTTTTTGGGGGTTTTCTTTCTTTTTGGGTCACCCTGCCTCAGTGGGAAACGGCCGCTTGTTAACCCTTAAAAGTCCAAACGTATATACTGTTTAAGTTTCTACGCATATGCCCCAATATGTTATATACTACGTTTTTTTATTTTTCATTGTTAGAGTATGTAGGAAAGAGGTGATTATTTCGCAGTAGTAAAAGTAGGCTTAGACAAGAATGTGTGATGGTCTCCTTGGTTTGTTCATTATATTTATAGATGGGGTTGTAAGAGAAGTAAATGCGAGGGTCTTGGCAAGAGGCGTGGAGTTAAAAGATAAAGAATCACACACAAAGTGGGAGTTGTCACAGCTGCTCTTTGCTGCTGACACTGTGCTCTTGGGAGATTCTGAAGAGAAGTTGCAGAGATTGGTGGATGAATTTGGTAGGGTGTGCAAAAGAAGAAAATTAAAGGTGAATACAGGAAAGAGTAAGGTTATGAGGATAACAAAAAGATTAGGTGATGAAAGATTGAATATCAGATTGGAGGGAGAGAGTATGGAGGAGGTAAATGTATTCAGATATTTGGGAGTGGACGTGTCAGCGGATGGGTCTATGAAAGATGAGGTGAATCATAGAATTGATGAGGGGAAAAGAGTGAGTGGTGCACTTAGGAGTCTTTGGAGACAAAGAACTTTGTCCTTGGAGGCAAAGAGGGGAATGTATGAGAGTATAGTTTTACCAACGCTCTTATATGGGTGTGAAGAAATGGGTGATGAATGTTGCAGCGAGGAGAAGGCTGGAGGCAGTGGAGATGTCATGTCTGAGGGCAATGTGTGTGTGAATATAATGCAGAGAATTCGTAGTTTGGAAGTTAGGAGGAGGTGCGGGATTACCAAAACTGTTGTCTAGAGGCTGAGGAAGGGTTGTTGAGGTGGTTCGGACATGTAGAGAGAATGGAGCGAAACAGAATGACTTCAAGAGTGTATCAGTCTGTAGTGGAAGGAAGGCGGGGTAGGGGTCGGCCTAGGAAAGGTTGGAGAGAGGGGGGTAAAGGAGGTTTTGTGTGCGAGGGGCTTGGATTTCCCAGCAGGCATGCGTGAGCGTGTTTGATAGGAGTTAATGGAGACAAATGGTTTTTAATACTTGATGTGCTGTTGGAGTGTGAGCAAAGTAACATTTATGAAGGGGTTCAGGGAAACCGGCAGGCCGGACTTGAGTCCTGGAGATGGGAAGTAC